GCCCTCTTCACTAGGCTTCCCAGCCCTGTGCCTGAATGTCCACACGCTGGTTTTAACACCAGAGCCCCGTGAGTCAGGTCTGTTACCTGGGGCTCGGACGCTCGTTGCTGCTGGTTCTGAAGACATCGCCTATGTGGCACTGTGGTGTGCACGATGATGGTGAACGTCTGTCTCCATCCAGCAAGGCCCCCGGAGGTGGAAATGCAAGTTAATGTAGCCATCGTCTCATGGCTGCGCGGTGATTGTGTTTTTCACGCCTCCATGGCCAGTTGCACACGTGAGCTAAAATCAAATCTTCTTTTAGGGAGTTGTTTATCTTTTTGTTTAATAATAGCCCGATGATTGGAATCAAATTTAAAATTCCTGTCCGCCTGCATTCTTTCCAGAGCATCTCCTCCTCCTGCCGGGCTCTGTGGAACTCGGGTCCCTCCCCAGCTGGAGGAGTGGATGTTCCGAGAGTGGAGAAAATCCAGCTGTCTGTTCCTGAGCTCTCCCGCTGGGCAGAAGGGCAAGAGCCCAACACAGTTGTAGTTTATGGCCAGTGCTGTGCACTGCACACGAGGGGTCTCCTGTCTGATGTTAGCCTTCGTCTCCATCTCAGGGCCAGAGGCGCAACGCTGCTGGGTAGAGCCCTGCAAATCCGTGGATATCTGCTTTGTATCCACGTGTATCCGCAGATGTCAGTGTGGATATCTGTGGCACCACAGAGGCGGATACACATTCTGTATCCGCGCGGGGCTCTACTGATGGATGGCCAGCTCTGTCACCCGCTTCTGTAAGTGTGCATGTAAACACACACACATAGAAACAAGGAGTGTCGGCCGTATTGACAGGATGGGGGACTCTGTCCTGGGAAGCAGTGACTCTGGACGAAATTCTGGGGATTGTGCAGGGTAATCAGCTGGCATGAGCTCCCACTGCGACGCACTGGCCAAAAGAGCAAGGACGATCTTGTGGTACCTCAGTAGGAGTCTTGACGGGGCGCAGAGCGTTGTTTTATCTCTGTATTTGGCACTGGTGCGATCACTGATGGAGTCCTGTGCCCTGTTCTGGTGACAATACGAGAAGGAGGTCGATCCATTGGAAAGGGTTCAGAGAAGAACCCCAAGAACAACTAAAGGCTTAGAAAACCTGCCTTATAGGGATAGATTCAAGGAGCTCAATCCAGTTAGAGTCACAAAGAGGGGATGACTTGCTTACAGTCTCTGAGTACCTACATGGTGAACAAATATTTAATAATGGGCTCTTCCCTCTAGCAGAGAAGGATCTTCCACTAGCCAATAAGGCTGGAAGTTGAAGCTAAATGGCTTTAGACTGGGGAGAAAGTGTCAATTTGTAATTGTGCGAGTAATTGACCATTTCAGCAATGTACCAAGGGTCATGGTCAATGTTCCCGCTCATCTTTTCCATCGATGTGCAGAATAATTTGTATGTGCACCGTGGCATGTGTGAATGTGCACCACTCGTAGAAACAAAACCTAGCTGGGAACGCTTGGCTAATCAGCTGGGTGACACTTGAATTTCTCCTGAGTAGCTGCACACGTGCCCAGCTTACGGGGAACACTGCTCAAGCGGGGTTCTCAGGGTGGATGTTTGTCTGAAAGATCTGCCCTAGGAATGGGGTGGGAGCCGGGCTCTTAGTCCCATCCCTTCCTTGCGGTGACCAGTCTTTTAAAACCTCACAAGAACACAATGAAAGCCGCTGCTGAGAAAAGCCGGGACCGTGTTTAAATAGGGCTGCCAGGTATTGGCTGGAGCTAGCAGGAGGAGTGGGCTCAGCAGTCCCGTGGTGACCTGGGGCAAAGGTCCCAGAAGTGCCTAGGAGTTGAGGCATGGTGGCATCAGCTGGGATGGAAGACCACGAGGTCTGAGATGGCGCATGGACCTCGCCTGCAGTGGAGAAATAAAGCAGATCTGAGTGTGGGAAAAGCAGGCCCATTTCTTCACTTGCTAACACTGGTTCTTGTGCAACTAAAATGAGACACGTGGCTTAGATTCCACTGTGCTGAACAGAGACAGATGAGCAGCCTGTGTCTTGGCCGTCTGGCAGCGTGCGCCGCAAGGAAATCTGGGCGTTGCTCATCCGAACAGCTTGTTTGCCAAGGAGAGAGGAGCGGATGTGTTTTTTACTCTGAACTGGGCTTGCCGCCTACCTTTGGGGTGTGTAATGCAGCAGCTCGCAGGAGCAAGGACCGCCCTTTGGTTCTGTTTGTACAGCACCTGGCGTACTGAAGGCGTGCTGGGGGTTTGAGGTAGCTACTGCAGTGCAAATAAGAAATAAACAGTACTGGTACCAATATGCTATGCAATCAGTTTAAAGGGGCTTGGCAGTGTGGAACGGGCTGGGGTTTTTATTGTAGATGGGATACAAACATACAAGATCCAGCCCCAGATCCTCTTCCATGTGACCAAATCTCTCCTGGGGAGAGTGGAAAACTGAACAGCTGAAATCGGAAATGGATGGTGGTTTTACAAAATGAAATGGAAAAGCACGCGATACCAGCTAGAGGAGGAGGAGAAAAGGAGCAAACAGACAAGGTTTAAACCAGTGGTTCTCAAACATTCATGAATGTGACTCCCGACCCCCCTTTCTAAATACCTACCCCCTACCTCCGGCCACATTTTAAAATATTTAACAAGAATTACAAATGTTGGAAGTGAAACAGGATTTGGAGGGGAGGTTGACGTCTCCCAATTCGAGAACCCCTGGTTTAAATACAAGTAGCAAACAGAAAGGGGCTAGAACAGCTCTGTGGTTAGAAGGGCTGGTTTTGCCCCGTGCTTGGGAATCTCTCAGCTATGACACAGGTTCTGCTGTAACCTTGGGCAAATCACTTAATCTCTCTGGCCTTTTGCTTCCTATCTGTAAATAGGGCTGATGCTCCTTCCTTGTCCTGCTCTAATTAGAGCCTCTAATTAGAGAACAGAGGGGGCCCCCCGTCCCAACTGGGTCCTTCCGGCATTGTTGTGACAAAACAAGCAGTAATAAAATGCCTCGCTCCATCGCCCTGGATCTCTCTCAAGAAACGCTGCCTCTCACTGACACCACTGCCCTGGTGATCTTCTAGCGGAGGGCTTGCAGACTAGCTTAGGGTGCACCAGCATTCGCCCTACCTTTCCGTGCAGTTCCAGGGAAAGAACGAAGTTTTCCAACGGCGGCACAGTAGCTCCCTCTGCTGGTCAGCACCACCCTGCCCACTCACCCACCTACTGATACTTTGCTGGGTTCTGTGCTGTCCCTTGTGATTCCAGTTATTGCTGACTCAAAGGGGGATCCGTTATCAAGCTGGGCAGCCTCCGAAGCTGCTTTTCCTGGGTTGTCGTGTTCTACTGGCCCTCTCAGGACTTCTCGCCTTGCTTTCCCCTCCTCCGCCTTCTCTCAAATTCCTCATGGTGACGCATGGCTGGTCTGTCCCTGCAGCCGTCTCTGCTCTCAGAGGTCGAGCACGCTGCTGGTGCAGAACTGCTCACCCCTGCTGGCCAGGAGCACAGGCCGTCTTCTGGGCTCGGTGCAAAGTGGCTCGGCATCTGCATGTTCAGAGGGTCGCCAGCTCGAACCACTACTTGTCTTTGCTGAGTCCAGCTCCTGGAAACAGATGTTGCCGAGCGGAAACGGTCCCTTAGCCGCCTTGTCCCTCTCCATCCTGCTTCCAAGATCCTTCCTTTCCTCATCCACCATCCTGCCTGGTTTGAAGCAATCTAAGTGTGTGCGGGGAATTCCACCAGTTTGAGTCATCGGGGTGCCCTGTCCAAGATCCTTCCTTTCCTCGTCCACCATCCTGCCTGGTTTGAAGCAATCTAAGTGTGTGCGAGTCAACGGGGTGCCCTAGTAGCCAGGAAGACTAATAACGTATTGGGGTGCATTAGGAGGAGCATTGCCAGCAGATCTAGGGAAGTGATTATTCCCCTTTATTCGGCACTGGGGAGGCCTCATCTGGAGTATTGTGTCCAGTTCTGGGCCCCCCCACTACAGAAAGGATGTGGACGCATTGGGGAGGGTCCAGCGGAGGGCGACCAAAATGATTCGGGGGCTGGAGCACATGACCTATGAGGAGAGGCCGAGGGATTTGGGCTTGTTTAGTCTGCAGAAGAGAGGAGCGAGGGGGGATTTGATCCAAAGAGGATGCAGAGAGGCTGTTCTCAGTGGTGGCAGGTGGCAGAACAAGGAGCGATGGGCTCAAGTTGCAGCAGGAGAGGTCCAGGTTGGATATTAGGAAAAACGTTTTCCCTAGGGGTGAGTCTACACAGCTGGGCTTAACTTGCAATAAGCTACACAAATTGAGCTGCGTCAATTGCGTAGCTTATTTTGAAATTGAAATTGGGAGCGTCTGCACTGCACGTATCTCGAAATAGAGCGCTCTTCCTCCGATTCCCTCACTCCTCGTACAAGGAGGGTTACAGGAGTCAGAGTAAGAAGTCCTCCATTATTTCGAAATAGCTGCCTGCTGTGTAGACACAGACTAAGTCATTTCGAGATAACACTAGTTATTTCGAAATAATGTTGTCATGGAGACGTATCCTAGGAGGGTGGGGAAGCACTGGGATGGGTTCCCTAGGGAGGGGGTGGAATCTCCATCCCTAGGGTCCCGGCTTGACAAAGCCCTGGCTGGGATGATTGAGTCGGGGTTGGATTTGCTTTGGGCAGGGGGCTGAACTCGATGACTCCTGAGGTCTCTTCCAGCCCTAGGAGTCTGTACATTTCCTTAGGTGACGCTCACTCCTCTTTTCCCCCAGTACGATTTACTGGCATTGCACTTGGCCGCAGGAGACTTTCCTAGCTCTGGCGCAATGCTAAACGAACGCAGCGGCATCGCCAGGCCTGGGTCCACACTGGTGAAGGCTGTTCGGCGGAAATGGGTGGCGTGGGGTTCAGTGTGGAACATGGGTGGATAATGTTGAACTAATTGCACCCATCGCGTGTTGAAGGAAATGGCTCCTCCCAAAAGGCCATGCCGTCGGTCTTTGCCAGTGATGTTCTGTTCTTTTCCCCGCCCCGGCAGGGACAGACAGAAACCTGCTTTACGAGGATGGGGCACATCGGGAAGCGGAGGATCTAGGCTGGAGCTCCAGCGAGTTTGAGAGCTACAGCGACGATTCTGGAGAAGAGGCTAAGCCTGAGGCAGAAAATACCAAACACAAGGCATCCTTCCAGCCAAAGGTAATCGGCACATGATGTGCCCTGAGAAATGATACGCCCGGTGCCTCGTCGTCTGGGGTGGGGGGAGGGCGCACCAGTTTGAAATAACCCCTGACTGGTTCTTCCATCCATGTTCCAGGGCTGTACTGGTTGGGGGCGCAGGATGGAAAATGCCAGATGGTTTGTCAGGCGAATGCCCATCTATAAATGTTTGTAGCCCATCCGCGGTTCAGAGAAGGGTATGTCCCTAGCTTGAGTGTAAGCAGTGGACTGGGACGGTGGGAGTAGGGTAGCTGTTCCAGATGTGACTCAGCTGAGTTGTGGGGTACAGTCGAATCGCCTGGATGTGAATCCTTTTACCCCACTCTCTGGGAAGGAAGAAGGGGACTTAAGTGACTCTTTAGAGGCTGTGTTGCCTAGTGGACAGAGCACCGGAGTTCCATTCCTGACTCTGCCAGGGGCCTGTTAGGTGGTTTTTGGCTGGCCCCTTCCCTTCTGTGCCTTAGTTTTCCCACCTGTAAAATGGGACGAATGCCACCGACCTTCTTTGTCAAGTACTTTGAGATCTATGGTGGTAAAGCCCTATAAACAGCCACATGTTCAAGTGGGGAAGATTTTTTTGTATTTACGGAACACCTTGCCTAGAGAACTGAACTGGGATTGTACATTAGGTGCTCATCACAGATATTGCCTGGTACTGGGGAAGCCATTTCTGGCCTTGTATGACTCAGGAGTCTGCATGTGGAATGGGCCGGGGGGGGACACAGCAGGTAGGATGGAGCATGTGGCTTAGAGACTGTCCTGAGATGCAGCAGTGTTCTAGGAGCCGGGGACTTGGGGGGTGCATTGAAGGCCCCTGCCCCCATGCATAGCTAGCTAATGGCTCGTGATCAAACCACGTACCACTGGCTGCAGGTACTAGTGGAGGCTCATCAGTGGGGCAGCAAGAATCCCGTTTCTGGCTGTTGTGTTCGAGACCTGGGACGCTCTGGGGTCCACCCAGGCCGGCAGGGTGTCCAGTCACCCCTGCTGGGTAGCCTTGGTGGCCTCTAGGCTGTGCAGCGAAGGCTCGGAGCGCCGATGCCAGTAGCCAGCCCACGAGCACAAAGTCTCACGCTAGCATCTGCCAGCCTAGTTACTATTTGCAGGGCGACTGTCCCAGGACTCCCCAAATCCATCCTCTCCTAGTTCTTAACTCCCCCTCCGGTGCATCACCCTCAAAGCTTGAAACCAGCCCCCCAGCTGACTCAGGACCCCACATCCGCCCTGTTTGGGGCCTGCTTGGGGTGAAAACAGGTTTATTGAATAGAAGAGGCGCCGAGTCCGAGATGACAGAGTCACCCAGAGGATAAATGTAAAGAGGCAACCACAGGCGTTATGCTCCTACGTGCCATAAAATCCCTTTCCTAGTACAAGCTGCCTGTCGCCTTTGAACAGTTTCCCAGTGTACCCCGGAGCTGTGGGAGGATCCAGTCTTTCACGGACAGCACCCGCCGAGTGACTTGTTACTTGAATCAGTTTCCTCTCATCCAGTGGCGTGGGAGGCGCTCCTCCCTGCAGTGAGGTGTACCTGACATTGTAATGCCGTGATGAGTACGGTGTTTATGCAGGGACGGAGCTGGGCCCTGCATTCTTAGCTCATGATTGGAGAGCCGCCTCCGTTTCCGCAAAAACTTGCAGGGTTCTAGATACGAAATGTGTGCCTGCGACAAAGAGCCGCAGATCTCTGCATCTGTAGCCACCGAGACGAAGCGGATAGCCGCGGATTTGCATGACGGCCAAGTTCAGAACTTTAGAAGCTTTCCTAAAAGACCTTCCCCGTACGTGATCCATACGGTGTTATTGGACTGGGAATGGATTAGTTCAAGTGCTCGTGTGGGGGGGCTTAAAGCTTCTTTTCTCTCCTGGGGTGTCTGGACCCCGAGTGTCCAGTTCCCTCGCATGGTGGGTTGTCCCTCTGCCAAGTCGGAACTGACCAATTGCCTCTCCAAGCGGCTAGTCATGAAATCGTACCACGGGCTGGCACCGTCTCGAAAGGGCACGTAGCCCGTTAGCTGGTGCTTAGTTTGTAATGAAAGTGGTGCTGGGGCTCAGGCAGGTGTTTCGTTGCATCCCTGACATGGCACACCCAGAGGTGGCAGGGCTGTGGACGGTCAAGCCCAGAGGAGCCGGGTCTCAACCCTGGCAGGCCCCAGCACAGACTCAGCCTGGTCTCTAGACGCGCTGTCCTGGGGAGATCCTGTCCCGAGTCCACAGCTGGACTGTGGAGCAAGCAGAGAAGAGCCCGTGCCCCAGAGAATCCCTCCCGGGTTTTCCACTGAGCCGCCAGGCCAGATACCCATGTGGGCAGATGTGCACAGTGAAGCTGTGTTCTCTCCGGGCCTATTGCACGTCAGGGCTCTGAGCTCCGTCAGCTGGGACAAGACGTCCCGGCGCTCTGACGGTTCGGCCGACGGGCACCGCGACTAGGGGGCGGGATGCAGCCGTGGGAGGGAAGAGGGGTTGATGGGGATGGTGGGCACCCGGCAGTGCCTCTTGCTGGCTGAGATCCCGCTTGGCGCCCTGCATAGTGCATGAGTCTGTGCTACCCCCTGCGGCCAGCGTCTTTGCATGTGCCGGCCTCTGTCCCGCTTTGCTGTGTGCTCTGGGTCGAGCTCTGGAGCAGTGAGTGCATCCCCCCCCCCTCTGACCACCCCTCTTCAGTGGCAGAGCGAGTTCTCCTGGGCTCAGAGTGGGGGGCTGGACGTGATTGGGACTGTGGAGAGCCCAGTCACTTACCGAACCTAGCAGTTGTTGCCTGGCTGCATTTCTAAAGGGGTGGGGGCCTCAATTCCACAGGCTGGAATCCCCTTGTCATGGTACCTGGGGGGGGGAGCAGCCCCCTTTCCTAGCCCCCTTCCCCCTCACCTTGGCAGAACTCCAGGAGCCCCTGGTGCTTCTCCGCAGACAGGTCTTTGGGTGGGGAGAGTCTTGCCCTCTTGCTGCCTGAGAGAGGGACCTGAAGCAATTAGATTCCCCTCACTCCTGTTGTCCACAGCCCAGAGCTTTCCGCCCCTGGTGGGGGTACGGCTGGCTTGCTCCTCCTTAAGATGGCGGGCCCAGGAACCTCGTGCCTGCGTTCGGACTGGAGCTGGGTGAGGTGAGAGGGGCTGCCGGTCCTCTTGTTTCTCCTCCTCTTGTGTTTGGCTGCTTACCTGAATCTCTCTTCTCTGCCTCTCTTCCCTCCGCCTGTTGCTTCTCCTCCTACCCGATTGCTTGGGGCGCAGCTTTCTCCAGACCTGAATAGGCTAAAGGAGAGATACGCCAGGACTAAGAGGGACATTCTGGCTTTAAGAGTTGGGGGGAGAGACATGCAGGAGCTGAAGCAGAAGTACGATTGTAAGGTACTGTCCCTCCTTCAGTCGGTTTTTTTTTTTTACTCTCTTCCTGGTCCCACCTGGGTTGCATGCTCTCTGCACCACAGTCTCCCATCTGCTGTAACTCTGCTTTGCACAGTTGCTTCCTTTTCATACCAGGCTTGCTTGGCTCACACCTGCCGGAGCTCGAGGCTCCCAAAGGGGCAGGGGCGTGCAGACCAGTGACAAGAACTGGGAGTTCCTGGCCACTCGTCGGGTACGTGCAAACCCCTGTTCGAGGAGACGTACCCGCACTAGCTCTGCTCCGCCATGGCATGCACGGTACAAGTGTCACTGTGGCAGTGCAAGTCGCAGGCGGGGCTGGCTTCCCAGAGTCTGACCCCATCTGAGACTATAGGCATGTACTTGGGGCCGCTGTCTCCTCATTGGGGGGCAGCATCACTTCTATCCTTAGTGCGCTCGCTCCATCAGAGCCAGCATGGATACATGCTCTTGAGCTTGACGTGTAGCCTGCAGCTGAGCCATAGCACCTCTGTGCCTCAGTTTACCTTTCAAGGAAATGGGCAGAAAGTTTCTCTGCCTGCCATGGGCTCTACAGAGCATGGCCGTGACTCTGAAAAGTGACTCTGCGAACAGTGTTTCCATGTTTTTCTTTCAAGTGAATGTGGTTACTAAGTGAAATGGTGGGGAGGATGGTTGTATCTACCGGCCTTGCTCAGCTCCCTCTTCGACCTGAGCCCCAGAGGGAGCGGACGTGTCCCTACCAGCTGGGAGAGACTCGCTGCTCTTTCCTCAGCAGGGAGCTGCTGCTGTCGCTGAGGGAGAGGTGCCACTCACACAGTTGGGCAGCTCCCTGAGCCCCTGTTTGGGCAGGGCTCATTAAACAGCTGCAGGTCTGTGCTGGCACACAGCTTAGGGGTAAACCTTGCTGGTGTGCCCCCAGATCTTCCTGCTCTGAGCCCCCTGCCCCCCCAGATCTTCCTGCTCTGAGCCCGCTGTCCCCCAAGATCTTCCTGCCCTGAGCCCCCTGTCCCCCAAGATCTTCCTGCCCTGAGCCCTCTGTCCCCCTAAATCTTCCTGCTCTGAGCCCCCTGTCCCCCCAGATCTTCCTGCCCTGAGTTCCCTGGCCTGAACCCTCCACCCTCTGTCCTGAATCCTGCCCTGAGCCTTCCCACACCTCATACTCCTGTCCTGAGCTCCACATTCCCTTCCCTGACTCCTGCATTCCCACGCCCTGCCCTGAGCTGCTCCCCACACCTTCCACCCCCTGCCCTGGCTCCTGCACCCTGCCCCAACACCCAACCCCCTGATGTGACACCTGCACCCCTCATGCTGCTGGCACCCTGCCCTGAAAGACCCAAGCAATGCTGAGTAAGTCTTCTAGTTTGCTGTGGTGCCTTCTAGTGATCCGCTTACAACCATCCCTAGCACACGTTTTGGGTGTCTAGCACGCTTAGGGCAGCTCAGTCCCCCATTATAGAGCATTTGTAGATAGAGCCTGTGTATAAAATGACTGTTGTTATCTGAGCCACTGCCGAAGACTGAACACGGGCGTCCTATTTGGCTAGCCTCTCATTTGATGGTCACGTCTTTCCTGTGGGTTCCACCTCTCAGTAGTGCTGCTTACGATGCTCCCTGAAACAGGAGAGCGACAGCAGTCAGATGTCTGGCACTGACTCTGCCCCTTGGTCCAGCTCGCCTGCCCTCTGCCCAGGAGTCCATCTCAGCCAGGGCTATCTCTGAATCCCAAACCTTTTTGTGGCTTGAAGCAGCTGCCCGTTAAAAACCTGCCGTCGAAGTCTTCCTCCCGAAGGCAGAGGTTGAACGTCATCCTCTATCAGAAGAGTTCCTGCTCGACTGTAGTGACCGGTGGAAGGCCCCGTACTGTGCTAGTAGTGGGATGGAGGTCATTGCTGGAGGCGTGGGTTCAAATCCCGCTGCCGAGAGCGTTCAACACTCGATGGTTGGTAGGAAACTGAATTGAATTCCCTTGTTGCTGTCACTTCATCTGCAAGGGTGCCATTTCGGGGGGAGGGCAGCGGCTGTGCCTGCTGGGACGTGGCCGTGTGCACCGGGGCGTGGCCTGCCTAGTGGCCGTGCCTGCTGGGACACGGTTTGTTTTTCTTCCCATTACCCTGGCGATAAGGGAACGAGGGGAAAGTACTTGGATTCCGTGAATTACTCTTCTGCCCCGCCCTTCACCAGCCAGGAGTGAGCGTCATACACGGAATCCAAGTACTTTCCCCTCACTCCCTTATAACCATGGGAGCGGGAAGAAAAGCAAGCCGCGTCCTGGTGTGCATGGCTGCTTCCCCGCCATCCCCCCCCGCTCTCCCGAAACGGCACCCTTGCTCACCTGCTCAGCTGACAAAGGCCACCTGCAGCAAGTCAGCGAGTGACGAGGGAGCGTTTGTCTTCCCTCTGGTTAGAAATGTCCAGGTTTCGTTTCTAAACACTCCATGAAAGAAAACTCCAGTTTTATTTTTTGCTCAATTAATTTGGATTAACTTCTTCCTCGCTATGTATAATACTAATAAAGGTCATTAAAACAGGTTTTTTCAAAATGCAAAATCCAGCCATTCTGTTTTGAAAATGGCCAACAGGAACCCCCCTCCCCCCCTTTTTTACTCATAGGAACTTTTGGGAGGGTTTTGTCCCAAATGGATTGCTGGTGAAATTGCCACCTTTCAGGAAGGGCTTGAACGTTGATAGAACTACATTCCCGGATGGAAAATGGGCTGTGAAAATTGTTCTGACCAGCTCTGTCACCTCTGAGGTTAGATACTGGTCCTGCTCTCAGCAGAGTTTGCACATCTGCCCTCCCCTTCGTGTTTTCCTTGGGACGCTGTACTGGTTTTGATCCCCAACAGTTTGCAAATGGACATTTTCCACGTGCCGCTGTTGGATATTCCACTACAAGGGCACAAGTGTGTGTGTGTGTGGGGGGGGGGCTGCCAGATGTGGTAAAAGCATGTCCCATAAACATTTTAATGGAGCTTCCAGCACAAAGTTACGTAGGGTCTTGAGCAGATCAGGTCAGCTTTTGCCTTCCATTTGCCCAGCTGGAGAATCCATCCTGCTTTAAATGTTCGGTTTGTCTAACACTCAAGCCTGGCCCAGATCGAAGGGGTCTACATGGGGCAATTTCTTCACCACCTGAGAGGTGCAAGATGCTTCTTGCTGGGGTGTTCCGAGCAGGCTGCCTTCCTCACAGCCGCGGTGCCGGGGTGGGAGTAGGAAGAGTCCGGATGTGCTGTACACCAGGGCTATGTCTAGACTGCAAGCCTCTTTCGAAAGAGAGCGTCTAGACTGCACGTTGAACTTTCGAAAAAGCGGCTTGCTTTTTCGAAAGAAAGCATCCAGTGAGTCTGGATGCTCTCTTTTGAAGAAGCCCTATTTACATTGAAGAACGCCTTCTTTCGAAAGAGGAACTTTCGAAAGAAGGCGTTCTTCCTCGTGAAATGAGGTTTACCGCCATCGAAAGAAAAGCCGCGTTCTTTCGATTTAATTTCGAAAGAACGCGGCTGCAGTCTAGACGCAGGTGAGGTTTTTTCGAAAAAAGGCTACTTTTTTCGAAAAA